CGACGCTCAGTAAGAATGTACTGGGTATGGTTTCAACTCAGGAAAAAAAAAATTCATTTAACACTTTAAGACTTACACAAAGCAACAGTAGTAGAAGCAAGAAAATCCATTGGACAGGTCTCTGCTGTACAAGCCATTTTCAAAGTTCTAAACAAGTTTAATTCTGATGAATAAAATTATTACACTAAAAGTTAACTACTTATCTAGATAATGATGCTTCAGATAAGCCATGTGGAAATATCTTACCTCTTCTCCTGAAAGATAGTAAGCTGAAAGTAATCCACCGACAAAACGGATGTTCACTTCAAATACCGAAATTTCAGCATTCTGTTGAAATAAACAAACATAATTTTATTCCCTGATACTTTTCTGTATGGTTTTGGTTTTTTTTTTTTTTTTTTTTTTTTTTTTTTTTTTTTTAATATACATGCAGGTATTAAGCTACAACAGCTGTAAATGGCAAAACACAAAAGATGTAGGGAACGCCAACATAAGTGAACTTCAGGCATTTAAAAGTATTTCCTTCTCTTCCTCACGTCAACAAAATCCTCTCCATTATCGTCATCCTGTTCAACTTTTCATCTCCTCCATCTGGACATTCTCTAAATCCACATATCTAAATACCTCCCTGCAGATGATTCTGCGCTCACACACAAAATGTGCTCTCAGATCCTCTGTCCCACACTACCTCACCTCACACCATCGTTTCTCAGACATCTTTTAAGAAGTTCTTGATCAGAATGTCACAACAAGAATTTTCCTACCTCAAGTCTAAATGCAGGTTATTGTAAAATGGGAGGTGACATTAGAATGAGTCATTTATATGTTCATGATAAAAATGTAATCATGGTTATGTATTCACTAGGAAGCAGATGATCTTTCACTATTACAGTGACAGCCCTTCCCAAGCTGGCTTGGTCTTTACCAATGATAGAGACTAGGTTTGTGTACTGAGCAGTATAGATACAGCCATTACCTATTTCAAAACTCAAAGCACATTCTTCTCTGCCTTTTTAAATTCAAACCTAAATGAAGAATCTGAATCTCACGATCACTACCTTCTCTTGTTCTTTACCAAGTCAATTCCAATTTTACTCCAACACACAACATCCAATCCACTCAAGACACTTTCAGTTGAAAAGCTGATCTACTGAAGTTTCTTAATTTTCGCTTTTTTATGTAATACTACTTTTTACATTTTTGTATTTCTGTAGAAAAATGGTACCCAGCAGTCAATCTTCTAAACTTTCGGGCACGTAAATAAGGTGTTTGACTTTCGTGTGTTCTGGGTTGCTCTTGCTTCTATTGAGGTGTTTTTCCATCTTCTATTTGCTGACATACACTATAGCTATATTCAATATAAATCAATGCATGCTAGAACTGCAGAATTTTCTTCCAAAGGGCTTGCAGGCTTTTCTCACTCAGCTGGTTTTTGTACTTTCCCAGTTTATACATTCAGATGTCAAGTTTATGTAGGAAGGAAGAAGTTGCTCCCTGTTTTCTACAGATTTTAAATTCTAGTAAACTGCCTTTGCAGAAGAAAACAGCACTAGGTTACTTATTAGAAATATTACTTCATGCTTTTCAGTTTGCAAGGCACTCTGATTAAGGAAAGGTATCTAGACACATTGCGGAGAGTTGTTTGGTGTTTCATCAGTTGTAAAGGTACAGACTTCAAAAAAACACTCACTGACTTGCTACAATACTTGTCCACTTACCCTCACGCATTTAACTTTTCTCCTCTAAAATCTATTGTGCACCTCCCACTCTAAAAATGGAGGATATAATTTCATCCACAGAATTGCTCTGATTAACATATAATTCATATACACTATATGTGTGTGCCTGCAGTTTTTTTATACATATGAGCACAATTCAAAGGGGCAGATAAAGTAAGGCCATCACACACACCTGCCTATTGAAAACTCAGACCTGGCATCGTGTTAAGACTGCAAAGTGAAAAAGTTATCTTGCTCTCTTGCGCTGTTCAGAACATGACATTTTTCCAAGTTTATTTTAAGTGTACCAAAACTCTGTGTAGTTTCTCCTCACTCACTGCTCTCCCAATACTGGTCTACTCTTATTCTTTCTGAAAGAAACTACAAAGCAAAAAAACCCAAAGGGCCTAGTTTCTGTTTTCAAAATTAATCTGGTATTTCTGCTTCCAAGTGTTCAGTCATTGTCTCACTGAATCCAGCAAGAAGGAGAATGAAGTTAACTGGAAACACGTACTCACTTCAACTTTAACTAGTGCCATTTCCGTGCATTTCTTTTTATTATATAATGATATATGGTAAACCTGGGGAGATGGATATAAAAACATTTAAATCCTCTAGAAATCTGAACTAACTAGACAATATAGCTGTTCACCTGCTAAGCAGGCTACCTATGTAAGAACTCTACATTAAATAAAGAAGTCTACCTTAACTAAATCCAATGCATAAAACAGCTTGTAGAGAACTGATCTGACTTAAGAAAGGCTGATCTGATCTGACCTGACTGAAGAAAGGATGATTAAAGGAGTGATAGGGACAGCTTCTCTTCCCTGGAACTTGAGCTAGCTGAAACTCCTATAAATAGTATTTTACTTGAGAACCTTCTTCAGAAGTTCAGGTTCTTTCTATTTCAATCCTGAGCCTCAGCACATGCCAAGAACTTTTCTTTGATATGGGAAAGTTGAAGCTGTAAAGAGGTAGGTATTAGACAAGGAAATGAGTTAATCCGATATCCCAGACACTTGTGTTTCCTGTAAGGATTGAATTAAATTACTTTTTGATTTTGAATTGCTCAAAGTAAATTGAGTGATATATGAGCTGAATATTTTGTTTCCAGAACCTTACATTTTGCCTTTCTGGATTTAATATTGCCACTTAACTCACAAACCTTTGCTTTCTTTCAAGGAATGCAAAGGCCCCTTAAGAAAAGCTCGGTATGCATGCACTGACATCTGCTTCTGGAATTCAGTTATAGACAGAAAGACGACTTTGAAGTAATGTGAATAAAGATTTTACTGTCAAACCACGAAGATGAATTCCACTATAATCCTGAATGTTTGCTGAAGTGGTGATCTTTCAGGACATTTCTTGAAGGTAACCATTGTTTTAATGTTACCAGAATACTTCACTTGCACACATCTCTGAATCTTTGTTTGAAATTCTCATCTCTTACTAAAATCTTAAACAAGCCACTGAAGCAGATGCAATTAATGAAATGGACAGACATTTCATTAATGGTAGATTTGAAAGCTGTATGCTTAATACATAGTTATTCTTAAACTCATTATACCAGGCTAGCAGTATTCTCAGAAAGCATGGGAATTATAGCAATTTGCAAAACAGTTAAAGAAGTTTTATAATTTCATGTCAAAGAAACAGTCATCTCTACATGGAAAGTTTGTGTGAAGTAGTAGTCTGTCAAGAAAAGTGAACTTGTCCTAAAACTAGCAGATTTCTGCTACACCAACTTTACCCTTCTTTCTGGTTTGATTTTTTGTATTACACATTTAAGATGCCTGATCATTACCCTCTCTTCATATTTTTAATCATCATCCACATACAGTTTGCACAAATAAGTCTGTATATTTCTACTCAGCAGTCAAATCCTAAGTAAGCAAAGTTATTTTTTATTTCGCTCTCAGATCCAGCTGTACACAAATACCTTATAATCCATTTAACAGTGCCAACATATATAGGAAAAACCTTTATTTGCACTTCCCAAAGTTTCTACTTCACCAGCTGAAGGGGCCAGAATTATTTTACTTTATTTTTTATTTCAAGTTTAGCCTTCTGTTTCAAACCATCATTGTATCATTACATAGCAGGTCTGAGAAGTGGTTGAATTAATTCCATTATATCTAATGGAACTTCTGTAAGGAGAAGTGACTGGACATGCTTATTTTAAAATGCCTATGATGTTCCTTTTGTAAGATCTCAAGTATATAAGATGACTCTGACCAACTGGATAGATATAATCTCTAATTTTACAGTCTTTTCATTAGTACCCCAATTAGACTGCATGGCCATGGGCTATGTATGACGATATCTGAAACACCTTTGTTAGCACACCTCTGTGCTAAGCTCTTATTGTTCCCATGCAACATCATCTTGCTCTGGCTGCTAGTTTTGGAGGTCTCCTTTTTATAAAGGATTCTGAAAGTATGTAGATGCTTGGGAAAGTGATATGTATATTGGGAACAACGTATTTTTGTTTTACTTCCAGGGCTTTTATGTTAATTGAAGTATATGAGTAATTTGGTCTTTCATCTTACATTTGATCAATAATTTATCATTCACTGTTTGATCTTCTGATAAGTGAATCATAAATGGGATAGTCCAAGTACTATATGACATCCAGAGAAATTGTGACTGCTGCTCACTATACTTAGAGAAATAGAAAACCAAAAGCAATATATGTATCCATTATGTCGTGCAAGAGCAAACCTGTGATAATTTATGGAATTTCATCTGGTTCCCTTGATTAGCTTCTAAAGACAAAATTATTTTGACAAAGAGATCCTTTACATTGCTGGCTAGACAAATAACACCAAAGTGAACCTATTTACATATGGTGGAGACTGCTCTTTCTCAAACTCAGGCTATGCAAATAAGCAAGTCTCTACCATCAAAGGATGAAAAAGCTGAGTGTTACCACATTTTGTCTTGAGACGGAGAAATGCTAAAATAAGTTTTTTTTACGGAAGAGAAGAACCATAGCTCAGAAACATTCAAGAAGTGGCAGAATGTGACAGGTTTAACTAGTAAACCTATTAAACTAACTCCTTTTAAAGAAAGGGAGGCTGACTATACCTTAGGAAGCCCCATCTTCAAAAAGCAACAAATATTACCTAACGGGGCGGGGGGCGGGGGGGGAAGTGCCAAGAATTACATTAGCTAGTTCATGTTACTCTGCATTTGTATTTTATTTGCAAACCTACGACAGGGCCAATCTGATCTCAGCTGCACCTCACCACTTCACTTCCCTCACCCTTTCCTAAACCAGAGGATTAAGTCTACAACTGGTAAACTGCCGAAGCTTCAACCAGCTGTGGTTGAATTTAATGTTGAAAGCACTGTTCAGACAACAAAAGTACTGTCAGCTGGGCTCTCCTGAAGCCTTCTCCTGTTGCACTCCTCCAGCTTCCAAAAATCAGTATTCACATCCTACTGGATCATTTCCTTAACACATCTCTTTCCTGAAAGTCTCCCTCTCCACAAATTTGTAGACCAAGGCCAAAACAATTTCCATCTACGTTTTCTCATGGGAAGTCACCCTCGCTCATAAACACAACATTTGAAATACAACCCAATTTTATTTATCTAGTATCAGCT